TATAATCGAATACTTTTCGAATAAACCAATGAAACAAAGACTTGAGATTCATTGTTCAAAGAATTAACCTTCTGAAGAGTGTGATATTTGTTTTCGATTAGTTCAAAAGTCACACGAATAGTTTACTATAAAAATGAAAACTTATTATGCAAAGCCGTTATTAACGAATAGTTCACAAAATAAAGGAATAACTAAAAATATTTCTAAGATTAACCAAGGATAGGTATTTTCGAACAGTGAAATATATGTTGAGCAAGATATCAGACGATGTAGTTTAATGCGCCGATTCTAAATAGCACCTTAGTTTTCCTTCCAGGTGCAATACGTGTGTCTAAAACCATCTTGAGGGTGTGGGTGTGGGTGTGGATGTGGGTGTGAATTTGAGTGTGGATATGGTGAATGTATCCATCTTATACCCACACCTATACCCAAAGCCACTCACACCTACATCATCAAGTCTTTTTTCTGTGAATTGTATATGTGGAAAGTATTAATTGTAGATATAAATGAAAACTGGAAAAATGTCCAAGCCCAGGCTGTTTGGTAAGCTTGGGTTTGGATTATGCCTAGTCGCAGCTACATGCTAATGGGTTCTCCTTCTTATCATTGCGATACGGTAGCGGCAAGTTCTCAATTGTCGTAGATTGCTCTGCTAAGACGTACAAGTATACGAACCTGGAAAAGTTGTCAATATATTCCGATTCGTAGACTAAAAAAAAAAAAAAAAAAAAATTGATCGAACATCATCAAAGCTTCAAGACGGCAAATATTGCCTGAAGATGAAAATCCTGACAAATCTAGCAATATCAGGTCACTGATATGTCACAGAAGACCTTCAGATGGCTCGAAGATGTAAGGGAATGGTATGATATTGTATTTTAGAGACATCTAATTAACTATACAAGCTCTGATAAAAATGATGCTGAGAAATAGAAACTGAACTATTGCCCCTTTGCTAGCGAAACAACGTTACTTGAGTTGATTGATATGTTGTTTCATATACTGAAATCTTGGAGCACTAATGTGGAAAGTCTGGATGCGTGTTCACGAACTGGATTTTGTTTATGATTTCTTTATTGTATTGAATTTTAACAAGATACTCACAGGAATGAATCGAAGAATACTGTTGAAATATGAGAATCAACACGATCAACACTGAATTGGAATAGAATGAGCATTCTCATAAACATTTATATAATGAGAAACTGTGATCGATCATATTCATATAACTTATTTTTTATTTTAATAAATACAAAAAAAGTTTGCGTGACTTCATGATTTTTTTGATTGTTTGGTAATAAATGATGATCGATGACAAAGTTGTTTTCAGTTATGGCATGCATATTATTATTATAATATGTTTTAATATAGAAATTTGTCCGTAGAATACAATTTTAAAATAAAAGTTGGAAAAGATCTAAAGGGTAGGTGTGGGTGAGGTGCGTAAGAGGTGTTGTCAGTCTAACACATTCTCATCCACAGCCTTATCTCATCCTCACCTACACCCTAACTGTTTCATTGTATTCTTGGTAGAATATCGAGAATGACGCTTTTTATCATATTTACTTTGCTCATGGTGAAAAGGAACAGCATCCAACAAATCTGTATCACTTTTGCAATATTCTGCTTTTTCTAACGAATATTAAACTTCGATTTGGTCGTAATTTGCACATGTTTGGTACAATATTTTTTCTACTGCATTCCGATTAATAAGCAGGGTGGGTGTGGGTATTCTTTTAACATCCACACTCTGGCGAGCAAGTGTTCTTTCGAGTAACTGTCCATACGAGTAAGTGTCCTCAACTCATTATCTTTATTCTAACATGATGAAATACAATATTTGATAAATTCTCATTTTGTTTATTATTTATACAAATTGATGGTTGATATTTGATGAAAATTTTCTTTATACATTAAGAAAAATTATTGAAGTTGAAGGAAGTATCAATCTATGTTTACTTAATCAATTTTTTAAAACAATCTTCATGCCAGTTTCAGAAAGAATACTAACAAAAAAGATTTTACGCTGTATTTATTGAAATAAGAAAAATGGTTTATTATTTGAATTATAAATATAATAAACTATTTCATTGTCGAATAGCTCGACCATTGCATTGAGAACCTAATGGTGATTCGACTGTTACTGTGGAACTGTCTTCACTCAAATTTATTACACCGACAATGGGTAATTTAGTTGAATAGGTTGATGGTTTCATAGCAGGTAAAAAGAATGTCGAAAGTCCACTACATTGACCTGCCAATTTGCCAGATATTGTCATAAAGAAATAAGCTACCTCTTTCACTTGCACTTCTCCCGAGAGACAACAACACACTTCTTGATTACACAATGGAGTAACATTGTATGATCCAGGCCAATTCGGTTTCATACCTAGAATAGGTAAACTGAACAAAGATGCAAATTCAACGTTAATTCACTTACCATAACTCAAATCTGTAGCTATACTCAGAGTAATCAACAACAATAGTGAATAAAACATTGTTAATTTTGATTTTTCCAAATTATTGTATGAATGTTAAGATTGGTACTTCATATATACTTTGAAAATGAATTGAAATCAGTTTTTTTAAATCCGCTTAATCATCAATCAAAAAAAGTGTAAAAAGCAATTTGAATAACAAATATAAGATATTAAATTGCTTTACGATTAATTAAATGCGTGATAGAATTACATTCGTGTATGCCTCCATTCCGTATGAATCTTCAAAATGAGTCCATATTCTACCATATAATAGCAGTGTACGAATCTTGTACATCTTACACTTGATAATTTCAGGCCTTTGATGATAAGGCATCTCTTTTTTTTAATGCATTCAACACGATTGGATTTTCTTCGATAGCAACTCTACACACATTCGCCTCTTTTCTGTTTTCCTAGTCCTATTAATAGTCGAACGAATGAAAAAAAATTACCGATAAAGTAACTTGCAATATCATCTACTAATGCATTCGTTGGTGTATTTCGCTATCGTTAGAAATAAAAAGTGACTCACGAGGGAAAGTTTTCAGCTGGTACTCTCCATTTTAATTCATTGGTATCTCATTCGATCGAGTATATTAAGATGATAAAAAGCGTAAAACGATATCTTCTCATGGCTCTTTCATTGAGAAATATGGCGGTTTTACTGAATTTTCAATCTATTTCTTGGTATTCACCAAAACAAATCAAATTTTAGAGTTTCGACCTGAAATTTTGCTGAAAGATAAGTCTTAGCTAAAAAGAATGTTCCTTACTCTAGATATTGAATCTTTAAGTGAGCTCGTTTATTCTGGCTAATCGACGGCGAGCGACTATCTTTCGATCATTCAACATCTCATGAAAGAGACATTCTAAAGTTCATTATATTTACCCATAGACAAAATTTCACGTCTAAATTCCATATTTTGATTTTTGCGGTAAACACCTAGGAATGAGTCGAAAATTCAATAAAACAGCCGTAACTTTTGTAAAAGGGGACATGAAGAGAAATCGTTTAGCTTCCTTGTCAGTGCGTGCGTATCTTACGTTGTATCGTAGATTTAAACTTGAGCCCACCCCTACGAATATGATCGATCGATGTTTTTTTCTAGTTCCTTTACAAATCATGATCAACAAGTGTTCGCTACACCCCGTCATACGCATTTCTTCAAACCTATGGATTTTGCTAAAAACTTTTCGTGGACTATATTAATAGCTGTATCATGTTTCATATTTTAATTTCGCAAGGATTGCGTTAATAGCTTTTTTTTTATATAAATTGATTGGAAAAAATCAATAGCAGATACAATCAAGACTATTATTTATATATTATAGATACATCATGGAGAAGCCCACACGATCTCGACGACTTTATGGTGGCACAGTTCAAAACTTCCTTGTTGTCTGGCTGGACGAGAACATCGACGAAGAAAACAACACTGATTGTCAAAATACAATTACTAAACTACGAGAAGTAATCAATACAGTGAATACATTCACCAATATCGAAGAATGTGTTACTTTTATTACTGACGTCAAGGCTGAAGAGGTCTTTGTGATTTCATCGGACACGCTCGGTCAAACAACAGTTCCGGCGATCCATGATATGGCACAGGTCAGTACCATATACATTTTTTGTGAAAATAAGACTCGACATGAACAATGGACAAGACAATGGCCTAAAATAAAAGGTATCTTCACAAACATTCAATCCATCTGCGAAGTACTGAAAAGAGCCGTTCATAGATGCGATCGAAACACTATCTCAATGAGCTTCGTGCCTACGAATGCTGACACAACAGATAAAAGCCTGGATCAACTCGATCAATCTTTCATGTATACACAAATACTAAAGGAAATTCTCTTAACTATTGATTTTCAAACAGAACATTTTCAAGCATTTATTACATATTGTCGGGAACAGTTTGTCAGCAATCCAGCCCAACTTCATCATGTTGAGAAATTCGAAAATGAATATCATCGACATACACCAATCTGGTGGTATACACATCAGTGTTTTCTCTTTTCTATGCTGAATCGAGCTTTACGACTAATGGATATCGATCTTATCATCAAATTGGGCTTTTTTCTTTCTGATCTTCATCAACATATCACCCGTCTTCACTCAGAACAATGCGGTGAACAAGCTCATTTCGACCCGTTTACTGTCTATCGTGGTCAAGGTTTGTCTCAGACAGACTTTAAACAATTAGTAAAGACGCAAGGTGGTTTATTATCGTTTAATAACTTTTTATCGACTAGTCTTGACCGAAGAGTCTCTTTTGCTCTCACTGAAAGTAATGGAGATAATCCATATTTAATAGGTATTCTCTTTCAAATAACTGTTAATTCATCGACTTCATTAAGTCCATTTGCCAATGTTCACGATACTGGTTATTACCAGGACGAAGAGGAAATTCTCTTTTCAATGCATTCTATATTTCGTGTTGGAGAAATCGAACAGATCGTTGACAATGATCGACTTTGGCAAGTGAAATTGACATTGACTTGTGATCATGATCCACAACTGCACATATTAACTGAACAGATACGAGCAGAGACATCTCCACATGAGATAGGATGGAAGCGATTGGGTCAATTGTTGATTAAGCTTGGACAGTTTGACAAAGCACAACAAGTCTATGATGTTCTGCTTATTCAGACATCAGATCATCAAGAGAAAGCCAACATTTATCACCATCTCGGAATGGTCAAGAAAGGTCAAGGAGAATATACGGAAGCAATTCTATATGCTGAAAAATCACTGGAAATCAAACAAAAATCTCTTCCACCCAATCATCCTGACTTGGCTGTTTCTTACTACATCATCGGTGTAGCGTACCATAAAATGAGCGAGTACTCAAAAGCACTTTCATATTATGAAAAAGCACTTGAAATCCAGCGAAAGACTCTTCCTCTAAATCATGCCGATTTGTCTGCTTCTTACAACAACATCGGTCGGGTATATAGCGTGATGAATGAGCACTCAAAAGCACTATCATATCTTGAAAGAGCATTGGAAATTAGGCAAAAAGCTCTTGCCGAAAATCATCCTGATTTGGCTACTTCTTACAACAACATCGGTCGAGTATATCACGCGACGAGTGAGCACTCAAAAGCACTATCATATCTTGAAAGAGCATTGAAAATTAGACAAAAAGCTCTCCCTGAAAATCATCCTGAGTTAGCTGCTTCTTACACCAACATCGGTAATGTGTATTATCGCATGGGCGAGTACTTGAAAGCATTCTCGTATCTTGAAAGAGCATTGCAAATTAGGCAAAAAGCTCTTCCTGAAAATCATCCTGATTTGGCTACTTCTTACACCAACATCGGTAATGTGTATTATCGCATGGGTGAGTATTTGAAAACATTCTCGTACTATGCACGGGCTGTTGAGATCGGACAACGTTCACTACCTGGATGCCATCCTCGACTTCAAAAATGGAAAAGAAACCTTGAAAATGTCAAAAAGAACTTGTAGATGATTTTTTTTAAAAATAAATAAATAACTTAAATAGAAAGACTACACACGTGCGTACAGAGAGACTCTGTTCTTGAGGGGTGAGTGTGTGAGTATATGATACATAATACCAACATTACACCCACAACCATCCTGAGTTAAATGAAATTTTCTATTGAAGATGACAAATACAAGTTTGAAAAAATTCTCCGTAATCAACATCTAGAGTTTCGCATCGTGCAGTGAGACGACAACTAACTGTTTCTCAAAAAATACAAAGATCTTCTCCTCTTCCATCATCATTCGTCAGCATAGAAAGATAATTACATTTCTTATATGTCTAATATTGATGATACTGAGATATTGAGGGTGTGGATGTGAGCATATGGAAGAAGAAGACACCCACACCCACACCCACACCCTCACGTAGAGTCATTTTAGGTATTAGCAATTCAACTAATCATCATAAACTCTTAAATTTGTCAAATAGCATACAGGTTGCCTTCGCTGATATCTACACTTTCATCTTGAGGGTGGGTGTGGATGTGGGTGTCTTCTCTTCATCCACACTTACACCGTCACCCACAAACACCCATATCCTGAAACTTTGCATTATAGCAGAACTTCATTTTCTTTATAGATTAATGTACTGTACAGCAAAATAACGAGTGTCGTAGAATCATTTTGAAGGATCTTACAGGCTCTGTAGCATTTGTTATTTTTCTTAGAATAGGAGCAGAATGATGCGTATGGATGAGAGTGAAAAGACGAAACACATCTTCTCCCTCACGCACGCTCTCGAAAAGACAAGAGGATAAGGCAAAGTATACGTAGTCACTCTGACTGATCACAAGGCAGTTATTATTGTGTCTGCTTCATACATGTGTCCTTAATGATTTCTCTCGGCGAAATGTGGAAGATACCTGATCCACGGATTGTAGGTAAAGTTGACTGGAGTTTTATTATATCGATGTTGAAAGAGTAGCAAACAAAACAAATAATGTAAATTGATAAGAACTACTTATTTTCTTTTCAACTGAAAATAAAACTATTCACCTTGGAGGGGTCTCTTCTCTGCTTGTAAAAAATAGGAACACATCTTTTATAGAATGAAACTTAAAAAATATTCGTTCTCTCTTTCTGTTTTGCTGTAACAGTCAGTTCTTTTCTTCAGCTATGAAACTTGGAACAAAGACGCACACTTTCATAGTTCTTGAGGGTGTGGGTATGGGTGTGAATAGAAAGAGTAGACTTTTATTCGTATACTAGACTAAATAGTTTGATTAGAAAAAAATTGGAAATCGTAATTATTTCGTTATAAATGCAAGAAATGTTGACCAAACTAAAAATTGAAAGTAATATTTATCATATATATTTATTTGAGTTTTATTACTTACCGATGATGAATAGGAATAAAATAAAAACTACCCAATTGAATAGCAGGCCCTGCGCAATAATTAGCTTTCATAACAGTTGAAAAATTCTATGATTAACTTTTTATAAGAAAATAATTCAAAAAATAAAGATTTAATTTACTTCATAGAAACGTTGGAAAATATAGAAGAATAAATATATACGCAAGATTTTTTTCAAATATATGTTTGTATATACCATCTTAGTTTTTACAACAACACCCCATATGAAAACTTTGTTGTTGATGAAAATAGAGAATTTATTTATCGTTATACGTTGAGAAATGAAAATTGTGTTCTATTCGTAATTGTTTGAGCTTTTTATTAATACAAAGAATAAGATAAAACTCATCTTTATTTTTATTTATAGTAACCAATAACGATAAATTGATATGTCTATTCAGCTTGTTGTGTTCGATATGCAATATACTGATCATGAATTTGAATCTCGGATCAGTGCATCGTTGAAAATCTAGACTGATGATTATTTCTGAATTTTTTTAGGAAATAAAATAATCGTACTCAAATTCGTCCAGTTATATTGTTTATAAACGCGTTAAACATTCCAACGTAATTATAAGGTATGTAATATTTTCTTTTTTCTCAACAAAATATTCGCACGTGTTAATTTGTTCGTTCTTTCTCCTATTTCGTTTGCTTACCTGCGACCGCAGAACTATCTTTTTTATTCTTGCTTGTAAAAACGTATACGCAAATAATAATATTAGTTGTTCTAAATTTCATTCATTATTTACAATTGTTCTTCTAGATTATGATCAACTATGTTGTAATAAACGTAATTGCCCAAATCTATTCAGTACGATCGTACTTTTGTTGTATATATTTTTTTTTTCATAAGTAGCAAGATATCTTATGTTGCAAAATAAAATTGGAAAAAGAAATTTTTAAAAAGAGGATGGACAAAAACTACAGATGCGAAAAAGCATTCTATAAATCATACCTCTTGACTGTATTTCTAAGAATATACTTCATCAATAGAATTGAAGCAAAAAAGTTTTTTTTAATTTGATAATATTTTATTTTCTATTTTTAGCTCATTTTATATCACACAATTTAGATAAGTATAACAATTTCTTTAGATTTATTCATTTGATACATTCCAGTTAGGCTCAAGTAATAATTTATTCTTGTGGTTTTATATTACAGTATATTTAAATTATTTTGTGGTAGATCGAAACAAGAAATTGAAATGAACCAACAGTACAACATCAATTCATATAGGAGAGAAAGATCAATCATGATAATAAAATGCTCTTTTGCACATCTTTATTTTTATGATATTTAGAATAAAAAAAATTCTATGTCACATTATTTGTACAAAGAAAAATTGTATCTATGTTTTATTTCGTTCTATTGTATTAATATAGGAATTCTTCGCAATACAGAACGTGTATCATTGATAGAACAAAAATAATAACTAGTGAGTGAATGTCTAATATTTTTCTTATCTGTAACGTATAAATAAATAAATACATAGATAAATAAAATAACATGAAAAAACAAGAAAATACAACTTTAATGAGAGAAGAATAAAGAACGTTTGTATACAATTTTTATTTTCTTTTAACAGTACTAATACAAATAATAAACAATGTAGTGAATGTGTTCTAGAATATATACAGGGATATTTTTTATCCATGTCTTCTAATTACTCATTGAATTTTTCGGGTAATTAGATGAGTTTTATGCTCAAAAGAGAAAGCATATTTCAATTTTTATCGAGGATATTGAGTGTATTTGATTAGATGCACATGTTTCATTAATGTGAGACAATCGTCTAATACATGCACGCTTTCTTTTCTTTCTTGAGGAGATCAAACGGTAAGCTTCATTGCGGCTATGATAAAAATAATCATTATCTACGCAGAGTTCTTTATGTATTTTTGCTTATTTTCTTATTACGACAAGATAGATCGATCAATCCATTACTGATCACTGCAATAAAGATAAGATAGAAATATTTATTCGTTAAACTTTTTTCTTCAGACAGTTACGTTCGTTACGAATCGTTATTTGTACAATCGAAAAATAACATTATAAATGTGGTTTTCGTACGTAATTACCTCTTTATTTCTTCCTTAGTGCGAAGAAAAAATTATCCATGGATGAATGATCACTGCAGATAGAAAAACACATATAAGTGTGTATTACCCATACTTTTATTTTCAACTAATATATTTATTCACTCGTATTTTACATCGATCGTCGAATATCATATTCAACAAGTAACCACTACTATACTATTTATATGATATATTACCATATCCTAATTTATTACTCTAGGAAAAAATATAATTCCGAGTTGTATTAATTTTTTTATTCTTCTAAACGAGATAAGGAATCAAGTAAATTATTTTTGATCTTTTGAAGATTTCTTTGTACAATGCGCCTATCTAATTTTAAATTTATGTTGTATTTTCTGCACACTTTTCAAAAAATTTTCAACAGTGAGGTACCCATCAAGGGCCAAAAAAACAATCAATTTACCTAGAATTTTTAAGAGCCTGATAATCGATTAATTTCAACATATTCTAAAAGATTAAATGAATGAAAGATCAAATGGCTTAATACTCAGTTCACACCCAACCATATGAAATTTTTGTATTTTTTCTACTAAATTTTAGGTATTTGAAAAGTTCTAATACTGTGCCAATGGGTAAGAATTTTGTATTCTATCTTGTCTGTTATTCATTGATTTATTTTAGAGGGTAATAACGAATACGAACCAGTGTTTAAAGATGATGGCCAAACAACTAACATTGGTTATCAAAGAAGACAGTGAGTAAAACTTAAACAATACATTGAATAATAGTGAAGCCATATCGAAGACGAAATCTGTAAATTATTATCAAATTTTGAATACTTTATTTATTTTGAATAGAAACACACGGACGTCTAAATACCTTCGATGGGGTGTCAGTATTTTAGTAGTTGTGTTATTATCGAGTATGGTAGCAATTGGGATTGTAAAAATGATGCCCGGTCGTGAAAAATCGTATGATACGATTGGAGTAAAACAAGGTTAATTTGAACTCTTATTTGATCATTGATATTATATAAAAAATAAATATATTTATATAGATATTGAAGAAGTGACCTTCAAAGCCATATTTAGTACGAGTTATATTGTTGACAACGAAAATCAACCATCTATCATAGAAGATCTTGATGTGATAACAAATAAAGTTTGTTATATAAACAATATTTTATTTGAATTATTTTCTTGTACTTTTTATAGTTGAACAAAAAGTTAAATCCAAACGCCATTCGTTTTGTCAATGGATTTTTTCGAAATAATGTTGAATCAAAAAAGTAATATCATTCAATAAATTCTCATATTAATATCTAATCTATATATATTCTATTAAGAAGTCTATGTGATAATCCATTAAATGGAAATATTCTTCAATTAGATATTGTTCCTCTGTATGCAGATGAATGTATTGCACAAGATGATAATACTTGTGAAAATCAATTTAAAGAACAATTAAAAACTATATTCGATCAAATGATGATTATTCCTGTGAAGATTCAACTGGAGAACCATCAATTTGAAAATATTGATATGAAAATATGTAATATTTTGGATATCAATGGTAAAAAAGAAGTATTAATTGCACCCAAAGGAATGAGACTATGTAAGTTGAATTATTAAACAGTTTAATAATTCATTTTGTATTTCTTGTTCAGTGGCTTCTAATCGACATATTCCATATACTCCAATACAGAAAGCCAGATGTGACTTACGTCTCAATAAAATCGCACTCGTTCAGGTAGATGGCGATTATGGAACTAATATACACGATGACATAAGAACGTATACTAGTGGTCAATCTCATCAATCGTCTACTATTACACTTGATGAAGAAACAACCCATAATCTACATGTTCAACTTAAATGTGGTGAAGATTCTACTGACGATCCATGCAGTGATTCCTTAAGTGTACATATATGGGTTGATTATAATGACAATCAAGTTGACGATGGTGAAAGTCACATTCTTCATCGCTCGTGGCCAAATAATGGTGCATCTACTGGTACATATGATCTACAGATCTATGTTCCAGCTATTGATGATAGAAGTATAAAAGCTGGTCCGCACACTATGCGTATTACTGTGATGCCAAGCGAGCAATACCAACGGAATTGTGGCACATTGGATTATCGGGAGACGAGAGATTACACTTTCAACATAATCCAGAAAGTGAGCTATGAAGGTAAATATTTATCCCTTTATTATTTAAGTTATCTAAAACTTGTTACTCCTTTTTCCCTTAGTAATAACAACAACGCCATATGTCAATGTGAGTCCAATCTGTTCGATACCATTAGCTAGAATTATTCTCGTTATAATGGCCGGTGAAGTTGGCAGCGAGATACGAGATGATAAAGTATATGATGCATCAACAAATACTAATCAAAATCAACATCATATGACCGTGACACTTTATGAAAATACTATATATTTACTCCGTATTCAGTTGGATTGTTCAACTCAAATGAGAACTGAATTAACAGATACAGGCTGTAATCTAGCTCAAGACGTCGATGTTTGGGTAGATTGGAACGATGATGGAAATTTTGATGCAAGTGAAATTGAAGCACCGTATTTGTTACCAGTTACAAGTTACTTACCTCAAGGCGTGTACGATATTCAATTGAATATTCCATTGATTGATGAACGATATATAGCAAACAGACCACATCGAATGCGTATTGTAGTTGCACCAAGTGAAAATTATCGAAGAACATGTAATAATTATCAAGAATATTCTGAACTGAGAGAATACAATGTGAATATTATTTCGCGAAAATCGTATTTACGTAAGTAGTTTTCTTATGCAAACAGTTCCTGGTAAATAATGTAATTCTTGATTTATACATGTATTTTAGCTGCACCTGATGTAGTAAATCCTTATTTGGCGCCAGAGAATATTACATGCATACCACAAGTTGGCAAAATCATATTTGCTAGAATGCCTGGAGAACATCGAACTCAAATACGCGATGACTTTTCAGCAAGAGCATTATTGGACAACAATAAACATGGCCAACATCTTTCCGTTATTCTACGTGAAGGTAACACCTATTTGTTTAGATTACAATTCGAATGCGAAGATAAACTGAACAGAAATTCATCGGATAAGAACTGTAACTTACCTCACGATATCAATGTATGGATTGACCTTAACGATGATGAAGATTTCACTGACTTAGAACGTGCAACTCCTTATCGATGGCCTCTAACAAGCTATTTACCACAGGGAGTCTATGATCTTCAAATACGTGTACCTCTTACCGATGGTAGAAAAATAAAAAGTGGACCTCATCGTATGCAACTTGCTATTGCTTTAAATAAAGATTATCGAAAAAAATGTGCTTATCCAAATTATTATGAGCTCCGTAATTATACAGTTACAATCGTATCGAATACAATAAAATCAGGTAATTGTTTATTTATCTAGTAATGTACTTTTATTAATATTTCTTTGTAGTTGATATTGGAGGTCCTTATTTGAAATTAAGTGATGCTGTTTGCACTCAAATCAATGCTCGAATAGTTCTTGTTATTATGGCTGGTGAACAAGGTACTGAAATCAGAGACGATACACTTAATAATACCATCATCAGTGAATATCAAAATCGCCACCATATGGCGGTAAGCGTCTATGAAAATACGACTTATCGTATTCGAATTCAATCAGACTGCGATCCGGCTTCAAGCAGAGGTTCACTTAATAATTATTGTAACCTTGCTCAAGATGTAGATGTTTTGATTGATTTAAATGATGATGAGCGCTATGATCGATCCGAAAGCTTTATTCCACATCGATGGCCACTTCGTAGCTCAATTCCTTTGGGTCTTTATGATCATGAATTATCTATTCCGGCTTCGACTGATCTACGTAGAAGAACTGGTACGCATCAC